GTTGAGAAAGACACTCAGTAGTGATCTCTAGCCTCCATACTCACATGCACAAACACAAACGTACACACATACATCATACATACATATACACACAGAGAAGTTTCAAGTAACACATAATATATAAAGGACATAGAGATACCCTTAAAAATACTATTTGCATGCTGCTGCGTCAAGGCCAACAGTGATAGAGCATATCTTGCTCTCCCCGCTGACTTCAGAGCTGATGGCATTTGTATACCTTTTCCCCTGTTGACTTAGGGACAGTCAGATTCTGGGTGAGGCACTGCTGGTTTAAAGGACTTTTTGAGGAAAATACATTAGACCCGAGGAAAGAAAATTTAACCACTTTGGCCCTATCCAGAGGTTAAAAAGAGAAAGTGGAAGACTTGTTATGAAATGGTTCCTTTCTTACTTTCAAAGAGAGATGAGTTAGGCTCCCACTCAGCCCTTGCCAATGAGAGCATTAGCACAGACCTCTAACTATTAGAGAACCCCCTGCTTTTGGCTTGAAGGATGTGTGCATCTTATTCACTTGGTTGTGAGTGGAGCTGTAACATCATTTCCTTTGAGGCTTTGTGTGTGCATATTCACACGTGTGCTCATGTGTGTGCACCTGTACACACAAACTTAGCACGCATGTATCTATCCAAGTATGTCTTTCTCCCTTTCCCTGTTACACTGGCTTCTGTAAGTGTAAGATTCTGTAAGAATCATGACCGTTTCACTAACTCTCCTGAGCCTACTGTGTTCCTAGCACAGACAGTACACACTGGAGAGTGAAAGTTCTAGAAAACAGGTTCTCCATGTTCCTGTCATTTTTACAAAGACTTCTTTTTAGGTAGGATTTCAGTTTTGCACCCACAATCTGTTTTTGCGTTTGTATGCCATAACACACGGGTGTCTACAGTTTGGTGTCTGCCTGGCTTCCTCCCTTCTTTCACTGTTGTTTTTTGTTCCTTGTTGTCTGTCTGTCTGTCTAAGACAGGATCTTTCTACATGGCCCTGGCTGTCCTGGAACTCACTGTGTAGACCAGCCTGACCTATAACTCACAGAGATCTGTCTGCCTTAGTTCCCGAATACTGGAACTAAAGGTGTGCATCCTTTTGAGTGTCACCTTCTCAGGGAGGAAACAATATCCACCCCATCTCTGTCCCCTCCCTCAACCATATTTGTCTCCATAGCACTTATCATACCTGCCCTACATTCATACCTGGGTGTGTATATCAGCCCACCAGGAAATAAGAGCATATTCATATTTTTATGGCTGCCAAGGGCACTTCATAAATAATTCAGAATTAATGGACAAGTTTGTAATCAGATATCAGCCAGGAACACATTTGAGCATGAGTCTTCCCAGGAGCCTTGTAGCTAGAGTGGAGAATCCCCAGACCCAAACACATGCTGTGGCCTGTCTGCAGAGGGAATCCATATCTTGGATGTTCTCCAATGGTACAGAGAGACTAGTGTGATTAATAAAATTCAATTAACATATTACAGAAGCCTTTCATTACACACTTTCTGTTTATGGCCACCAGAAGTACAACTGTTCCAGTGAGGGTGTCTGGAACATTTTTCCTCAAATACCATTTTTCACTATAATGTATTTTTGTAGCATCCCATTATACCTTACAAAGATGGAGTTACTGACCCTAGGAATTAGTAATCCAAAAAGAAATGGATTTGATCTTACTGACTGGTGTAAGTCCATTATCAAGAACTTTGCTTTGGGGCTCAGGATGTAGCCTGGTTGGTAGAGTGCTTACCTAGCATGCATAAAGCCTGGGTTATGATCCCCAACACGGCATAAAGCCTGATGTGTAATTTGCACATGTAATCCCAGCACTTGGGCAGTGAAGGCAGGGTCAGAGAGTTCAAAACCAGCCTGCACCTACATGAGACCTGGCCTCAAAAAGAAACTGCTTTTAAAACTGCAGGCCTTTTCCCTTGAAGGCCAGTAATTGATACTGGCTTTATCTCTCCTGGTATTTTCACAGTGTTAAAGATGGAAGTATCACAGTCTTGAAGATAGCTCTGCATGGTCTTCCTTCTAGGCTTATCATTTAGTAAAGTATTTTTGTTAATGCACTTTGGAAAAACAATGAGACCCTGCCACTTAGGGGGGAAAAAAAGCTAGATGGGAGATGGGAAATTTTTCCTGGCGGGTAAAAGTACAGCTGATCTCACATTGATCCTCTCAGCCCAGAGCATGCATGATGCTGACATTGGCAAGACATTTGTCTCTGATTCGGGATTCTGAGGGCTTCAGCGATGGCCTCCACTCCAGGCTGGCTGGGTTGAAGCTAGATGCCTTCTTGCACACCACACAGATCTGACAAGAAAATGGCCTGAGCAAGTAGATACCATTGGCATTAGTTTTCTAGGACTACTGTGACAAAATACCACCTACTGAGTGGCTTAAACCAAAGGAACCACTGTCACACTGCTCTGGAGGCCAGAAGTCTGAGCCCAGTGACTCTTACTGTGAGCGGAGGGCAAATCAATCCCATGCCTTTTCTAGCCTTCAGTAGTGACCGGGTTCTCAGTATGCTCTGGCTTGTAGATGAAATCACTCCAGTCTCTGCCTCATCCTTCTGTGGTGACCTCCCTGAATCTGCCTGCCTCTTCCTAAAAGGATGCCAGTGGCGTTAGGGACTACCCTAACAACCTCAAATTAATCAAATTACATCTGAAAAGAGCCTATTTTCAAACAAAGTTACATTCATTAGTGCTAGGAACTGGTATCTTTTTGAAGAACCTGTTGAAATTATATAGTTACCATAAGTACCTGCCACAGTACTGAGAATAAATGACTTTTGAATGAGTTATCTAAATCATCCCCTCCAAGGCTAGTATGCAAATGAAGGGTGAGAAAGAACATGAAGAGCCTGAGGAAGGGTGGAACCCTGATGTCCAGGCATGGCATGACTGTTGCACTTTTGAATTCGCAGCATCTGTGATCAGCTGCACACAATCTGTACAAGACTGACCCCAGCTGTGGAGGAGGTGGGGCTTATGTGACCCCTCCCCTCCCTGAGGATTTAGAGAAAACGAATGGTTGATGGAGGAGGGAAACACTACTTGTTAATGATGTAGTCCCTGGGAAGGTACCCATGATCCTGTAAACAAACCTCCACCTTGGTTCTGTAAACAACTATAATGAAACTCATGGATCATATACACACCCAAAAAAGAAAGTTGAAGAGCAGCCTCGGTAGGAAGACGATAGGGATTAATAAGAGGGGAGAGGGCACAAAAGAGGGTCACAGGAATGATATGGTCAAAATATATTATGAACTTATGAAAATGTCACAATGAAACCCATTATTATATATGCTAATAAAAGCATTACAAGATTAGCAGCAGTGTGTGAACCATACAAATGGCCTTGTGAGTTTATCGTGGTGGAACAAACTGAAAAGAAGAACAAGAAGCTCAGCGTGACACTTGTCAAGTGACTCGTCCACAAATTTGCCATCATTACCTCTTTGTTATCACCAGAAATTTTCAACATTTTTGAAGACCATTAATTACAGAATAACTCTAGAACAGTTGCACAATAGAACCCCTCCCCTCTAGCTGCTTATTTTCAGTAGAGGTGGCTTGTCTCTGTAGGTGGATAAAATGGAGTGGGGATCAGGAAGCTGATCTTTGCTATCATCCCACCTTACCTCTGTACATTCAACACAGACAACTCTCAAGACACTGATGATGACACTCCATGCTGGAGACTTAGGTGGCTCAACACCAGCTCACCTGAGTCCTCTTTAGAAGCTCATAGCTCAACACCAGCTCACCTGAGTCCTCTTTAGAAGCTCATAGCTCAACACCAGCTCACCTGAGTCCTCTTTAGAAGCTCATAGCTCAACACCAGCTCACCTGAGTCCTCTTTAGAAGCTCATAGCTCAACACCAGCTCACCTGAGTCCTCTTTAGAAGCTCATAGCTCAACACCAGCTCACCTGAGTCCTCTTTAGAAGCTCATAGCTCAACACCAGCTCACCTGAGTCCTCTTTAGAAGCTCATAGCTCAACACCAGCTCACCTGAGTCCTCTTTAGAAGCTCATAGCTCAACACCAGCTCACCTGAGTCCTCTTTAGAAGCTCATAGCTCAACACCAGCTCACCTGAGTCCTCTTTAGAAGCTCATAGCTCAACACCAGCTCACCTTGTCCTCTTTAGAAGCTCATAGCTCAACACCAGCTCACCTGAGTCCTCTTTAGAAGCTCATAGCTCAACACTAGCTCACCCAAATCCTCTGTCTTTGAATAGCAGGATCCTGCCATACTCTTCTAGGATGGCCCACCCATGCTCTGGGGCATGGCTAGTATGATTCATAACTATTTTAGATTTTACTATATCTTATTATAATTATAATCAAAAATACAAAGGTGAAATGCAAAAACACATGCTTGATCTTACTCAGACCTCACATTTTGCCAAATACTTCTGTATTCTAAACCTAAATTTCTCCAGAGTTAAATTACAACATCGTGTTTTAAGATATAACAAGCTTCATTTTTTTTTAAACTAAAAGCCTAACTTTTTAATGTCTCTATATAGTTATGCTTGTCTGAATTGGAAAGAAGGCAGAGTCTCCATATGTTCATTTCAGCATGGGTTGCTAAAGATAGAGCAGTCAGTGCATGAAAATGGCCTAGATTGAGTAAATTAGCAGAATCACAAAGGGAAACCACGATAGGAAATAGTTTTACACACATAATTGCTGAAATCCTCTAGTGAATGTGTCAGTCTGTACTAACTAAATAAATTTGTTTATAGACATGCTCTGTATTAGCTTCCACTCTTTTACAGCCCTTTGCCAAACAAAATCCCACTAGAAGTAGGATGTTCACACCCGCCTAGGAGTTTCTTAGATAAATATTTTTACTATATGGAGACCAAAACCACTTTTACAAATTTAAAACTTTGATTGAAATACTATATTTCTTTACATTTGGTGTTTTTTTTTCTCTCTCTCTCTCCCATCTTTTCTCCTGGCAGCCATGTGTGTATGAACTTCACTCTTCTCACCTCCCACAGCTCTGGTGCACAGGATGCTGGCTGCAGTCACAGGTCAGCCGGTCTTGTGAGTGGGGGGCTAGTCTGTCCATCACTGCCATCAGCAAATGGACTGGAGAGGCACAGACAGGGCCATTCACAAAACAACTCTGCTTGCTCTCTCCTGCAGCCTGGTTGAAGTGGTCCTTAGAGCCCTTCCAGGGTGGAGACTGTCCATCCTGAGGCTGTGCTTTATGGAATACTGTTTCCATTTCACTTGAGGGCTCTATGAGCAGAATAAAGGAGATTCTTCCAGGCTTCCAAGATCATAGTAAAAGTTCATAAAATGTCAGACATAGTCTTTTGTAAGAATGACTCAGATCCAGCTCTGGCCAACTCACTCTAGAATTGGTGAATTTTGCATAGGCCTTCTAAATATCTGTTGTTAACTAATGAGATTACATATTTTAAAATTATTCTTAATTAGAATTATCTCTGTTAGAAGTGCAACTAGACCACTTATTCTTTATAAATCTAAATTTCCTTGCTGTCTTTAAAATAATTTGACCAGTAAACAGTTGACTTAGACAATAGCATGACAAGGGGAATTTAGGCCTATGCAAGAACTTAATTACTGTGGACTCCAAAAGCCTACCTGTAGAATTAACTCAGTACCTAATAAACTGAGCACTCTCCTACTGCACCACATTGTAGGTTCCCATGGATACTATTTCAGGAGATGGTTCCATAGGTCATAATATTTAGTCATCTAACATGATAGCTCTGTTCAGAGTAAGCTTTTACACATGAGAAACTTTTTGTTTATAATATTTTGGAGGTAAAACTTCAAAATGGCCAAGGCAAATTGTAAATGTCCATGGTAAGTTCTATTGGTTTCAATGTGTTACAGAAATATAAGGGTATAATATTTGCAAGTTAGAAGAATATGTTCCTAGTGCTTCCAGAACACCTAACTATGGGTAAAGAAGATATGAGGGCTTGGGAGGAGCATGTCTTCTGTTGTCAGTCCACAGCTGTTTTGTTCAGTTTTCAAATAAATGCTGAGGAAATAGTTTAAATTAATGTAAAGAATTTATGCTAGGCCCTAAAGCAGTGCTCCCAAACAATTAGTAGAATGCTGATATATCATGGGTATTCTTAGGTGACTTTGCTAACTTTCCCGTGTAAACATTCTGGGTTGCTGTCTCTGATTTCATGGGTATTCACCATAGATGACTATTTAAGAACAAAATAGTCCAACTGTCCCTTAGAATGTAACCTAGAGCATTTTCTGTCCCTGTTTATCACCTTTTATCCCCAGCTCAGGTCTCAGCTGTGTCACGTGCTTCCAGAAACCTCCTTAGCCAGCACCTCCCACCTCTGCTACTCTCTGATCTGATGTCTGTTGTACGCTCGTATATCCATCATGTTTGTCAGCTCTTGTTCAGTATGTGTCTCCCACATCACAGTGATCCCCACAGAGAACAGGAACCACCCTGTGACCTTGCGCTATCTGCCATATGGTGCAGGGTTCATTCGATGAATGGATGGATGGATGGATGGATGGATGGATGGATGGATGGATGGATGGATGGATGATAGCAGGTTTATACAGAAACATGCCTTTTCATATGGCTACCAAATATGATAGTAACTGCTGTATTCTGATGTCTCTTCATTTCTAGTGTTCATTATCTTCAAAAACTTTTAAGAACCTGAATTATAATTCATTTGCTGTTTAGTGAAGTTGGTATCAATCATTGGCAGGCAGGTATTTTATCTTCTGCTAGACATAGAGCTATAGGGGTGTTTGCCCTGATGGATTTCGGCCTTGCTTCAGTCTGGTCCTTCCTTACTGATCTCCTATTTTCCTCTGTCTGAATGAGAATGTTTACTGTGTCATACAGTGACATTTTGAAAGTATGATAGTTGGTTCTGATTCTTTGTGACCCACAATTAAGAGTTTGCCTTGCATTTCATGATATACTTTGAACAGTGTTGAAGTTATTAAGACTATGAGGACTCTTGGAGATGGACTGAGGTGTTTTGCCTTATGTGATGGACGACAGGGATGGAATGTTAGGATTTAAGGAGATGTATGTGGCTGTCAAGGTGACAAGGGTGGACATGTGATGGTTAATCCTGTCAACTTGATTGGACTGAGAACTGCCTAAAAGATCAGTAGAACATACTGATGTGTGCGTCTGATAGGAAGGGGCTCCCTGCATGTAGGCAACACCATCCCACTAGACTGGGATTGTGCAGATAGAATAAAACAAGGAGGTGGAAAAGGCCAGCTGCCGAGATAAGGAACATGGTCTTGGATGGCCCTCTGCCATGATGGACCAAATCCTCCAAAAGCATGACCCGAAATGATCTTGCCTCCTTCAACTTGTCTCTCTCAGGTCTCACAGCAAAAGGAGACCAACTAACATGCCACACCTACCTTATCTCACTTAAGATGGCATCCTCCCATTCTGTCCACTTCACTGGAAATAGATAGCTGGATTTCATTTTGAGTTCATTTCAATATGAGGTGAAAGATAAGAATCAGGTTTCCTTCTTCTGCATGTGGCCCCCCAGTTTCTCCAGGGCCCCTTTCTCAAGAGGCTGCCTTTTCTCCTGTGTACGCTTTGGACAGCTTTGTCAAGAATGCATCAGCACAGATGTGTGGATCTGTTTCTAGGTTTTCCATTAGTGTCTGTGTCTAGTTTGTGCCAGTTTCATGCTGTCTTGCTTACTACGGCTCTGCAGGATACCTTGAAATCAAATATTATGGTACCTCTCGCTTTGTTCTTTTGCTTTTTAGTGTCTTTTGCATATGAAATTTCAGAGTTGTTTTTTCAGTTCTGTGAAGAAGAGGAATGACGTTGAATCTGCAAATTACGTTGGTTAAGGGACATTTTAACAGTTAATCTTTCCAGCCATGACCATGGGATCTCTTTCTGACTTTGGGCACCTTCTTTGATTTCTTTTGTCATTGTTTTGTCATTTACATTATAGAGCTCTTTGTTAAGTTTCTTCCTAGGTGTTCTAAGCTTTTAATTCTATCATGAATGGGATTGCTTTTGATTTCTTGACCAGCAAATCATTAGTGAAGCTATTTTTATATGTTTACTTTGCACCTTGTACCTTAATGAATTTATCAATTCAAAGATTTTTGTGGGATATTTAGGTTTAGATTCATAGAGGATTGTGCCATCTGCAAACAGATCATTTAACTTCCTCCTTTCCTATTTTTATGTCTTTTTCTTGCCTAATTGCTAAACCATCAGTGCTGTACTGAATAAGAGTGGGCCTGCACACCCTTGTTTTGCTGCTGATGTTACAGTGTTGGCTATGGATCTTTCTTATCCAGCCCTTATGTGATGAATTCTGATACTCCTGTGCCTACTTTCTTGTCATGAAGAATGTTGACTCTTATCAAGTATTTTCCTTTATTGAACAAGATGATTATTTTTATCCTTCATTCTTTTAATGTGATGTGTTATGTTTGTTGGTTGCATGTGTTGAATATTCCTCATATCCCTGGATTGAAACCATTTCCGTTGTGGTGTATGGTCTTTGTGATGTGCTGCTGAATTTGATTAACCCCGAAGCATTGGTTATACCCTGAACACAGAAAGATAAATCAAATAGCCAAGTCCGTGCCTTCAGGGGGCAATTGGTCAATTAAGGGAAAGAGATTAATGGTTGATAGGGCTGAGCCCCGCCCTTGTTGTTTCTGGAGGAGCTCCTGCTACGTTAGCACCTTTTACATGTGTTACAGATACATTTGCTACTTGGGATAATGGTAGACCTTTGTGTTTTGATGATGCATAAAGTAGCTGAATAAAAGCTTCATATTACTGGCATTAATTATTAACTTTTAATGTGTTTAAGTATATACTGTATTATGGAAAGACTGGTGTTTACATGGGAATTATATACCTTTTCATCTCATAAAATTTCTAAAGTTGACACTTACAAAAACCTTTTTGTTTTTAAATATTATATGGCTTATATCGGCCACTAATTTATTTTGCTTAATAAGAACAATAACAAAAAAACTAACACATCTCTCAAGTAATTTTAAGTGACTTGGGCAATTAGAAATGATAACTTCTAATAACTACATTTAGAGATTTTTGTATTTAGAAGGCCAAACCAAATTGACAATATCCCAAGCATTTAATGGAGTAGGAATCTGAAACACAGTCAGAACACAGCCTTCACAAAATGACAGAGTGTGGTGGCACACATTTGGAATCCCAGTGCTTGGGAGGCTGACAGGATAGAGTCTGAGGCCAGCCTGAGGTATATAGTAAGACTTATCCCCAGAGGCAGGCAGGCAGTCCCTCGAGGTTTATAAAGCCCAGAGTACGTGCAGTAGAAAAGTTCTAATGCTCTATCTTTTTTACCCGTTTTGCCAGTCAAAGAAGAGCTCTTATTTAAAGGGCATTCCCCCTGCCACTCTCAAATCAAGGCTGTGCCATCTGACCAGGTCCCACTATAGCTTTTCCCCGGGTATCTATAACATGAGGGAAGTCTAGAAAAGGGAAAACATCTAATGAAGAGTTTTCCACATTTACAAAACTATCCCTCATATGGTTCAATTTAGATTCTCTGAAATACCAGAGTCGGAGTGAAATTACCAAAAGGAGAAAAGTCACATTGTAGTGTTTCAAACAAGCTGTGCCTATTTGTATTTATGCTTGCTAATGAAATTCAGTCATGATTTCCACTTGATTTTAAGTGTCTCAAACCACCATTCAGATTTATTCATTATAATTAAATCTTTTGGCCATAGGCAGACACAGAGCAGCAAAGAAAGGAGGCTTTTTTTTTTTTATCTTTTAAGAAACTATTACATAGCTTTGATATGAAGTCCCAGAGTTTCAAAGATTATTGTGTTAAAGCAAAGCAATATGCTCTGTGGACAGTCACTTCCTGAGGCAAATGTAGGAACCAGGAAGGGGTTCAGATTTGAATCCAGCAAACCCACAGGGGCATGGCTGAGTTTGAGTCCATGGGGTCTGTGGATTTGAGGCAGTCTTTCTCAGATGTGAAACAACTTTATATAATCTCCATTGTTG